ATGACGCGCCTAATTAACGATGTAGGCTTACGTCATATTGTGCTGCTAGACACTATAGTTAACGTGTGTGTGTCGTAGTGTGTGTTGTGTGTGTGCACTGTGTGTGTGTGTGTGTGGTGTAGTGTGTGTGTGTGTGTTATCGTAGTGCGTCCGTTGCGTGCGTGCGTGTGAAGTGTGTATGTGTGTGTGCGTGTGTGTGTGTGTGTGTGTGCGCTGCGTCGTGAGTGTGTAAGTGTGGTGTGGGTGGTGTTGTGTGTGTGTGTGTTGTGTGTGCGTGTGTTGCGTGTGGGTTGTGTCGCGTCGCGTGGCTCGTCCTTGTGTCGTGTGTGTTGCTGTGTGTGGTGTGCGTGTGCCGTGTAGCCGTCGTGCCGTGTGCGTGTGGCGTGTGCTGTGCGTGCTGGGACGCTAGTGCGTGTGCGCGTGCGCTGTGGGGAGAGAGGTTTTTTGTTCCTTTGTATGACGCGTGCTTGCCGTTAGGTAATATACCGTATCTATTGGTGCTATGCATAAACAGCCAGGATTCATGTTTTCATCCTTCTCCTCGTGCCTGACACCATACCTGCGTGATGTGCGGGAGTGCATACACCAATATATATATATCTAGTATATATATATATACAAATGTGCGAGAGTATATATATATATATATATATATATATATATATTTCTACATCCGTGTGAAGGCTATGGTGGTACTAGGCCTACTATCAGGTACGAATGTGTTAAAAGGTGCATCGAACTGCTCGCTACCCTGGGGTTTTCTGGCTAGGGATAGCCTCACGTTGATAACATGCTGTCAGGAGTAATGTGATTGTCTTCTATCCATCCCGGAATTTCGACCCGTAGGTTGAGTCCGTATGGTTGGATGGTGTTTAGATTGTGGATCTAGTAAGCTTCTCTTTTCTTTCTGATGCGGATTGTGTGTGGCTGTTCAGGGAGGTCTGAGAATATGTTCTCAATGCCCATGCACTGCAAGTCCGCTGGGGTGTGGTTGTCGCGTGAAAAATTATCACTGACGGGTACGTACTATCAGGTATACGTACGTCTTGCTAGGGGCCGAACATTCATGGATGCTGAAACACGAGTTTATGAGGAAACTGCCATGCAGTTACGCATTCGTTCCCAAATATGTTATATATATATATATATGAAGCACTCAACTTCCCCTTTCCAACCTAGAGCGCAGGTGCATGCGCCACGCTTACTATACACTACATCATCTACTGCTGGCTACTACCGCATCCTCTTCCAAACAGGTTGGTATATAAGGTTGCTATATATTGGTATTTCTCTTTACATGCCTCACTGTTTACGACATCGCCTGTCTAAAGCTGCTAGATTAACATCTAGACACACACTCCACACTCCAACCGTTTCTTGGAACTACTTACGCCATTGTGAACAGCGGGGAGCGATTTGGTCACGAATCATTTCGGTACTTGCGCTGCTCGATACATTTTTGAACAGACCACTTTCGTCGACACATTTTTGTCGCGAAAAACGCCACATAAAACGCTAAACATTTCGGGTGGCCATCAACAAAGGGAAAGTATTTTTAAAAGATATAATTTTGTGTTTAGCAATCCCATTTGGTAGAATATTATATATATATATATATATATAATATTATGTAGTAAAAAATATATAAAGAAATTCCTCCACGTTAGTTCGCAAACATTAAGAGACGCAAACTCAACTCACCATATACTTACATAGAGTTGCTTTTTTTAATTACTTATATCTCGATTACCAAAGCATTTGCAGAAGTTTTAGTTACTCACGAAAATATTTTTTTTAATCATTTACATAACGTGTCAAAAACTAACTCGTCAAAACCAAACTATAATGAGACTTCAACAGAGAGACGGACAATATCGATAAGATAACAGATCAACTTCAACATAAGCTTCACTACTTACATAGAGGTACTGTCTTCTCTCCTACTCTCCTGCATTTCAGAGCTTCGAACATGTTCCAGTTTCCGGCTTGCATCTCTCGGAACTGAGTCTCCATTAGGACACCTTCGAACTCCGTCCGTCCGTCGTCGTACGGGTATTCGAATCCGGGTTTACATTGACAGGTGTAGCCGCCGGCTCGGAATCCTTGACCCATTTTCGGCAGGCACTGAAGCGATTCGATAACAAACGCATAATACGATAATAAATACAATAATACGTAATTAAGCACGCACGCACGCACATACGCACGCGCGCCCACACACGCACACAACCACTACACACGGCACGACAACACCAACATGCACACACACACACGAACCAGCACAACAGCACATCACACAGCACACACACACACACACACATCACAGCACTCACACACACACAAAACAACACACACACAGCAAAACAACACAAATATATATCATATTTACTGTACACACCGGAGCATAAATTATGGCGCATACTACGAAATAGCTTTACCGGTTATGGACAGTATATTCTTCGCGTTGATGTGTCGCCCATAGTCAACGGACGCCAACTGCGCATCTTTCCGTTAGCCGTTAACCTTTGTGCGACACGTCAGAGT